CCCGTCGTCCCTGCTTTGTTAGGGTGGGTCACTGGGATTTTTTAACATTATATTGTACATAACATTTTAAGAAACTTCATTTCACATATTTCACAAAATTTGTATAAATATAAAACATTTGTTAGTAATTAAGAGTAAGAGCCTAATAACATAACTTTTGCAGTTGACTGTCGCCATTATGAAGGTGTTCCTTTCGTTGCTGACAGAAGGATCATTTTCCAATTACATCGAGCAACGTGTCATTTACGTGATCGAATAAAGAAACCTGCAATTTCCGTGTTTTCGCGGACAGCATAATCTGTCGAAAGTTTGACGTCAGAGCCGGAAAACTTGGCCTGGAATCCGTTTCACAATCCCCGGGAACGGCGCCACCATCCTGTATCGCCATAAGTCAGAAAGGACCATTGTGTCCACTTTTCCTCCATAAAGCGTGTCGCGGATCTAATCGTCGACTAATCGCCCACGCAAATACCTGCGTGCTCTCGCGCGGATCGTTAGAGTGCGTTTCCAAGGAGCTCGCCACGCGTGTACCAACATATTTACTGTCGGATCAAGGCTGGTAGCGGATTCTACACGCTATGTTCCGAAGAATGCCGTAACAGAGCTTTTCATCGGTTATTTTCGCTCGTTACGATAACGTCTTTCGGTTTCTTTTTTCTTCTTCACAGTTACATCGAACGGACCACATCGTTATCGAAACGACCGTGTTAACACGCTCGATACCAGATAAGATCTTGGTGTGATGCTCACCAGCGACTAATATTCCTGGCTTTACAGCTTTATGGGATTTTTACGGGAATCTGCAGGTACAGCTAACGTTATGCTCTATAATTAGGTCAGGTAGCACTAAAGCAGTAAACACATTAATATCTCTAAAGTCGCAATTCTTATATTTTTTAATTTTGTAGATTTTCAGACTTTCGAATTTTTATGTCTATAAATTTCTAAAACAAATATTTGAATCCCTGTATTTTCTACAATTTCAAATTCTCGCAACACAATTTTTCAAACGATTCAATCATTAGTATGAATGAAGATAGAATACCAATGAACGTAAGAGCTCTCCGCAATTCGTAATTGGCGCTCAAAAATTTCCCGCCATTCGTTCGCGATTGCAACAATGTTTCCTCCAAAAAGAAAACACATCACATTCGCAAAGTAGGATAGAATTCAAGAAAATTAACGTGTACTAGTGTATCCTTGTATTTCCTTTTTCTAAATCGTTTCATTCGAAAGTTAATTTATTAGCATTCCACGATTTTTTAACGATAAATCGTCGCGCGAATTGCGTACCGGTTGCATCGTCGGTAAAAACAGCGAGCGCAGTGCGCATGCGCGAGAATCCTTAGTAGGTCGCGTCGTCGACTTGAACGAACTCGTCTCGCGCCGTTCGCACGGATCAGTCATCCAAAGGTAACTCGCGATATACGTCGTGCACAAATTACCATCGTCGTCAACAGAATAGTACCAGTGTTTGTCCGTTTCGGCTCGAGAAGTAGTTCCTCGGTCAGTGTCGTTGGAAGAAGTCTGTCAAAGTGAACTCGAGTGATTTCGTGATCCTCGAAAAGATTCGCGAGTGCGCGAAGTGAGTGTGACCGTAGTTGCAACTTTCTCGAAATCATCGCGTAAGAAGCTCGGGAACAGCTGCCTCGAAGGAATGGTAGATCGTGGAAGGAGAGAAGGAAGCTCTGAAAACATAATCGAATGATCGAGAGGAGTAACATCGATTCTTTGCAAGGTGTCAGTGTGTAAGGATCGTGGACATGGATCAAGGCTGGTAGCGGATTCTACACGCTATGTTCCGAAGAATGCCGTAACAGAGCTTTTCATCGGTTATTTTCGCTCGTTACGATAACGTCTTTCGGTTTCTTTTTTCTTCTTCACAGTTACATCGAACGGACCACATCGTTATCGAAACGACCGTGTTAACACGCTCGATACCAGATAAGATCTTGGTGTGATGCTCACCAGCGACTAATATTCCTGGCTTTACAGCTTTATGGGATTTTTACGGGAATCTGCAGGTACAGCTAACGTTATGCTCTATAATTAGGTCAGGTAGCACTAAAGCAGTAAACACATTAATATCTCTAAAGTCGCAATTCTTATATTTTTTAATTTTGTAGATTTTCAGACTTTCGAATTTTTATGTCTATAAATTTCTAAAACAAATATTTGAATCCCTGTATTTTCTACAATTTCAAATTCTCGCAACACAATTTTTCAAACGATTCAATCATTAGTATGAATGAAGATAGAATACCAATGAACGTAAGAGCTCTCCGCAATTCGTAATTGGCGCTCAAAAATTTCCCGCCATTCGTTCGCGATTGCAACAATGTTTCCTCCAAAAAGAAAACACATCACATTCGCAAAGTAGGATAGAATTCAAGAAAATTAACGTGTACTAGTGTATCCTTGTATTTCCTTTTTCTAAATCGTTTCATTCGAAAGTTAATTTATTAGCATTCCACGATTTTTTAACGATAAATCGTCGCGCGAATTGCGTACCGGTTGCATCGTCGGTAAAAACAGCGAGCGCAGTGCGCATGCGCGAGAATCCTTAGTAGGTCGCGTCGTCGACTTGAACGAACTCGTCTCGCGCCGTTCGCACGGATCAGTCATCCAAAGGTAACTCGCGATATACGTCGTGCACAAATTACCATCGTCGTCAACAGAATAGTACCAGTGTTTGTCCGTTTCGGCTCGAGAAGTAGTTCCTCGGTCAGTGTCGTTGGAAGAAGTCTGTCAAAGTGAACTCGAGTGATTTCGTGATCCTCGAAAAGATTCGCGAGTGCGCGAAGTGAGTGTGACCGTAGTTGCAACTTTCTCGAAATCATCGCGTAAGAAGCTCGGGAACAGCTGCCTCGAAGGAATGGTAGATCGTGGAAGGAGAGAAGGAAGCTCTGAAAACATAATCGAATGATCGAGAGGAGTAACATCGATTCTTTGCAAGGTGTCAGTGTGTAAGGATCGTGGACATTTCGCGAGGAAGGCGCGAGACAGGCTCGCGCGCGCGCGATAGTAGGTCGAGTCGCGTTCGGCGACGATCGGCCGCGGTCGGGTGAACTCGGCGCGCTTGAATTCGAAGACCGTAGTGCCGGACGCGCGCTCGCCGCTCGGCCCAGTCAGTCGCACGCGGCACACGAAAGCCTCGACACGTTGAGGGAGGTTCGATAACGCGCGAATTAAAAAAAATATACTGGACAAGGTGAAGGGAAAGATAAGTGAGGAAAACAAAACAGACCGAGGAGAGTACGACAGACTGCGGAATCTTGCGTGAAGACTGGAGTCGCCTTAGCGAGTGAGTCGATCTCTCTTCTCCGTTCGAGAGATCGACTGCCACCCTTCGAGGCAGCACCGTTCGACAGACGCGGGAGAAACTGTCAAAAGTGTGGTACCACGGAAAAACACCGGGAAAGACGAGATGGTGTACGGAGGAGGATTCGACATGGTGGAAACGGTGAGTCACTTGTTTTTATTTATTTATTGAAACACGTAAAAAGTGTGCTTTCTTTCGTTCTACGTGATAAACGTTTTGTTATACGATATTTTATTTGTTTTAATTACGATTGGTACTTTTGAGAGAATGAGAGTACAATTATGTGATAAAGTCTTGCGTGTGTATTCTTTAATTGAACGCATATGGGGATGGTAGAATTGGCGCCAAAACTGCCGCCATTTAAACTACTTTCGTGCAGCGGGGAGGTTTATTAGGCGCGAATTTTCAAATGTGTTACTTGAAAACCTAGATGTAAAATTCATAACTAATGAGATTATTTCAGGAGTAATGTTATTTTGTAATTTCTGAAATTATGGAAAACACTGCTTATCTTTTGTAATTACAATTTCTTGTTACACGAATAGTATTACAAATTCATAGTATTATATAACTTATTTTTTAAACAATGAATTTATAAGTTTCTTATTAAATTTGTATTAGAATTAAAATGGACATCATTATAAAATAAGTTACTTATGCAAAATTAGTTATAATTATGTATAACTTACCTAACATTTTTCCCGCCAAATTTCTTCTAATTTTGAAGGTAGTAAAACCTAGAAAACTTAGTACGTGCGGTACGGCAATTAGAATTAATTTGACCGAGCCACTTTGAAAGTAACGGATGTTCTACAAGTGAAATGGCATCTAAGCCTGCTGGTTGACGATAATGAGCAAAACCGTGGACAGGAATCGCGTATAATAACGGGGGACCCGGATGATTTTTCACAGGCAAATTCAAATCGGCGCACTTCCCGCGTCAACATCTGTCCTCCGTTAATCACTTTTAAAATTACGTTTCTCGCTACTAATTTGCAAATCAGCATGATAAATTTATCTGCTTTGAATATCTATGCTGATGGATAAACTGTAAGATTCTTGGAAAAAAATACGCGCATTACGTAATAATTTTGTTTCATAATGAACGCTTTTGCGTTCGTTAAATTGTTTCAATAATTAGAATCGTATTGATTACTTGGTAATAAATTTCCGAGTACGAATACAGATCTTTCGTTTAGTAACAAATGCACGAGTAACCGCTGCGCAATAAATATTAATCGGATACTCGAATTTTCGACCCTCAATGAACTTTAACTCGTTAATCTAATTTCGCGTTTCATGACGCAATCTGAAAACGAAATTTCATTTTCATCGTTCGGGAACAGTAACCTTTCCTCACCGTTTAATCACCCACATATCATTGAAATTATTCAAAAGTCTTATCTTTGCGGAGGATCGATGAAACAGTTTCGCCGTTACGAACGCATTGTCCCAGTTTGTTTAAGTAGATACGGCCCTGTCGTAGAAAGACACAAACAACAGTCAGAGACGGTCGCTCGCGGAAGGCTAACTTTCGAATCTACTACAACTAAACAGTTGGTAGTCAGCTACGAGAAATTCACTCGGCTGACACGTAATGGAAAATTTTGCAGTAAAAACGGAAGCGAAAACAAGGTGTCGTTCCTTCAAAATTTCATCAAATTAGGCAAAACTGCACCCTTTAATATCGACGATTCGTCAATTAGGAAAATCTTAATCGCGTTCAAATGTTTCTTCGGTCTTTATCTTTCGAAGGGAACGCCTTCACAATTGTCTCTAAATACTTCTCGTTTACACTTCTTCGTCGTTCGCAACGTTTCGATAGATTTTTTCATCCGAGAAAGTCGTAAAGATTGATACTAACGAGCGATTAATTGATTCCTTTCTTATCACACCGGTTGACGGTGAACTTTGCACGATGCAGAAGCTAAAATTATTTGTTTGTCGTTTCTTGTAAAAATGTCGTTTCTTGTAAATAAGATAAACGCCTCCAAGAATTTCGCTTTCGCCAGATATTTATCTCGCTGCATTTCTTTTTCAAGATTCTTCCTTGCTCATCTGTTCGCACCGCGTCTCAACTTCTTCAACCCACTTCCCCGTTTTTCTGCGTATCAATAAACTGTATCAAAATTATTCGGTATTTCGTTCGCGTGGTGAACGATCCGTTTCGTTCGCAACCCGCATTATTCGCGCATGTTTTCATTTCGTCTTTTCGCCGAGTGGTTAATGCGTATGTTCTGTAATAGAATTATGTATTCATGAAAGAGCTTTATAAGGCCAGACGACATGAATTTTACATTACCATATTCACGTATTAGATGTATCTAAAATTTTGTTGGTCATCTGTACCGTTGGACACTATCTTCGATCCTTGGATTTTATTGTCCTCGCTTTCCTGTTTCTGTAAAAGAATTTAAAGATTTGGGGGAACTAAAGCTTGACTTGTAAGGGCTGTCATCTCTAGGTAGAATTTTAGGGATATAGGAATTTTAGTATTTAGGGATATTTATTTTAGGGTTATCGGAATCTGAAGATATTGTGATCTGGGGGTCTAGGGATTTTGGGATTTAGAAATATTGAAATCTTGGGATATTGGGATCTAGGGAGATTGAAATTTAGGGAGATTGGGATTTAGGGAGATGGGGATTTAGGGAGATTGGAATTTGGGGAGATTGGAATCTGGGGAGATAGTGATCTAGGGAGATTGGGATCTAGGGAGATTGGGATCTAGGGAGATTGGGATCTAGGGAGATTGGAATCTAGGGAGATTGGGATCTAGGTAGATTGGGATTTAGGGAGATTGGGATCTAGGGAGATTGAAATTTAGGGAGATTGGGATTTAGGGAGATTGGGATCTAGGGAGATTGGTATATAGGGAGATTGGGATCTAGATAGATTGGGATCTAGATGATCTGGGGGTCTAGGGATTTTGGGATTTAGAAATATTGAAATCTTGGGATATTGGGATCTAGGGAGATTGGGATCTAGGGAGATTGGGATTTAGGGAGATTGGGATCTAGGGAGATTCGGATCTAGGCAGATTGGAATCTAGGGAGATTGAGATCTAGAGATATTAAGATCTAGAGATATCTGGACCCAGGGATATCGAGACCTAGGAACATTGATTCGAGGAATCTAGATAGCTAGGGATATCGAATTTAAGTATCTAGGATCCTATGGATTGTGGAACCTAAAGAACTAGGGATATCAGCTCTTAAAAAATAGGGATACTGAATCTAGATATCTAGATTTCCAGGAATATTGGATCTAGTAATTTAAGAATGCAAGTCTAGGAATATCTATGAATATCAATTCTTAAAATATAGCAATGTACAAATATCTATTCTATATAAATATCAAACCTAGATATCTGCGAAAAAAAGAATATTAGATCTAGTATTATAGTAATATTATAGTCTAGAAATAATGCGTCTAAGGATGCGACCTAGGGATATCAAAAGTCTGTAGCAGGTCTACGAATATGTAATTCCGAGGATATACAGATATCGCGATATAAAGATGCAGCGATACAGGAATCTAAAGATCTATGTATTTATGGATATACGTCTTAACACGACACTGACACACGCGCGTTGCGGTGTGGCTCAAGTTCGCGTTATCGACCTTCCCATGCTTGTTCGAGTATTTTAGCGAATCGCTTCTCGAATAGCGATCTATTCTTATTAAAATATTCTCCGTTCTCGCATAAAACGACTGTTCATTCCGTATTCTCTTCCACGTTTGCTCCACTCGATCGATCGATCGCAAACTTACCACGGTGGAAATCCCAGGAATAATTAAGTGGCTCTCGTATCCATTAAGCCGCTCCATGTTAGTCGACTTTTTGAATTCCGATGCGTTATTCATACCAATTTTTCAAGTATTTAGACAATTTTTCAAATTATGAACTCACGCATTAAGCATCCGATGTCCTTTTCTGTGAGGATTCTGCGATGTCATCGAGCGATAAAAAGAAGGAAGATTTCGCGGAACAAATTACATTGTATTATTCCTTCGTTCGATCTCTTATTACGGTTGTTAATTACAGCATTGCACAAAGTAACACTTTTCTATTATCAGAAAAACGCAATACGTTTCGTCATATCGACATTCAAGTTCGTAGTATTTTTTCTTGCGAACAGATCGTTGCCCCTTGGAAAGTGTAGATCTCATTAAAGAATAACTGCTTTTCCAGTCTGCTACTTTTACACCTATTTCCTGTCGCTTACACAATTATTGGAGACGAACACACAATACTATTCATAGTTCTACCGACTGCCACACGGAAGCAGTTAAAAATTCCTCCAAGTATTTTTACCTCGTTAAATTCTCACGAAATTTACACATGCCTAGTTCCAAATACTTCTTAATAACACACGACAGGTCTGTACGAAAATTTAACAGTCATCCATACAGAGTGACGTAGCTTAAAGAGTATCGACACTTTCTCCTCGACACAAATTGCATCCAACACGTGTGATCACGCGTGACAATCTGAAACAACCACCGTGTTCCGTGTAATCAAACTAAAAAATATCGAAAATAATAGGGTACAATCGAACACCTGTTAAATAGCCGCGGAAATGATTTTCGACGAAGAAAAAGGACAGCGATTCTGTCCATCATAAATCTCATGGCCCGAGTAGAGTATGCCAGTCAGACAAGCGAGCATACTCTCGCGGCTGACCGCGTAAACAGGGTGTAATTAAAAAATCTCACTAGCCGGTCTTTGTGTCGGTCGTCGTATATAGTTGATGTCCTTGCCGAGGCAATTCGAAATCCTGTCCCGGTCTCGCATTAGCGAGGGCGTGGTTGGTCGTTCGTTCCTGGTCCGAGGATAGCAGCCTCGTAGTAATTGCGGCAGACTCGTTTCCACGACACGACTTTTGCGGGCTTGATTTCTCCTCTCCTCTTCTCCTTTCCTCCTCTCGGTACTCTTTCTCTCCGCATTTTCAACTGTCTCGTTTTCCTCGTCATCCAACCGGCGCGCCGCGAAACACATCGTTCTTAAGCTTTGCGGACGTTTTTCCTCCTACGGATTTTTCAATTTCTGCAAGAGCGATATGTCTGCGAGTGATTAATATTGGGAAGTTTATTCTTCGACTTCTGGGTTTATAGGTAGTTTAGTGATTATAAGTTTT